GATCCTCTGTTCTTATAATTTATTCTGTTCTTGACTCTTCCATTTGTTGATTGAGTTCAGGGTGGTGCTGCCACGTATGTCATTCTGTGGTAGTTGTCTGTTCTCAGCCCACAGAACTTCCTTTAGGATGTTTTTCATAGAACGGTTGGCTTTTGCAAAATCCCTTAGCTTCTGTTTATCCTGGAATGTTTTGATTACACCATCGTATTTGATTGACAGCTTTGCTGGGTAGAGGATTCTTGGGTGGCAGTGTTTTTCTTTCAGGGTTTTATATATGTCTCCCCATTGCCGTCTTGCCTGCGTAGTTTCTGTTGAGAAATCCAAACTTAATCTGATTTGCTTGCCTTTTACACTTCTCTTTTCCCTAACTGCTTTCAGAATTCTGTCTTTATCTTTGATTTTGGACAGCTTGATTATTGTATATCTTGGTGATTGTCTTTTAGGGTCTCTCCTCCTTGGGGTTCGTTGAGTTTTTTGAATGCTTATCTTTTAGCTTTTCAGGATGTTAGGAAAATTTCTTCTAGAAGCTCTTCAACTATCTCCTCTGTGGACTTGTGTGATTCTTCCTATTCCGGAATGCCCGTAATTCTTAAGTAATTCCTCTTCATGTTCAATGTGAATTTTAGGCCTTCTTCAGATTTTTTTAATCCTTTTTTTGTGTTTGTTCTTTTATCTTAGTAGTGTTGAGAGATTTATCTTCTGGCTCACTAGTTCTGGCTTCTATCTCTTTAATTCTATTCCTTTGCCCTTTCAATGTATTGTCCATTTCTGATATTCTGTTATTAATCATTTGGACTTCTTTCTGTAGGTTTTGAATTGTTTTCAATGCTGTATCTATTTTATTTGATTGTTCCTGTAATGCTTTTCTGACTTCTTCCTTATTTTTCTCAACTCCATTGTAAAGTGTTCTGATACATTTTATAATCATTTTTCTGAATTCCTTCTCAGGCGTTTCCAAAGCCCGCCCATCTTCCAGTATAGAGTGTAGGTCTACTTCCAGCTCATTTGTCTGAGTCACTTTATTTTGTTTTTGGACATGTGCTGATACGGTCATCTGCTTCTGTTTTTTGGGCATATTCAGGAGTTATCTGTGGCCTTAATACTTAGATGGGTGTTTACTTTGGTATTTTTTTTTATGCTTTCTGATTGCCTCCAGGTAGATGTGATCAGGAAATGGGCTTCCTTTTTTGCTCTTCTTCTTGAGAAATATCAAGATGCCACTGTTGGTTGTTGTGATGTAACTCAGGATTTAATTTTCGGCCTATTTCCTTTTTAGTCTGGCTGTCCCGCTCCACACCCCCCTTTAGGCTTTTTTCCTAGTGATAAACAGTTCAGGGCCAGCTGTGGCTGTTTTGTTTTAAGTGGAAACTGTCACTTTAAATTTTGAGCAGATCTGTGCGCTCATGTAGTAGAACCCTCTGGCGGTGGGGCTGGGGTGTCCACTATCTCAGGCGCCCCCTCTAATCACCAGAATGGAGATGCGCAGACAGTGAGAGACCAATGAACAGATACCAAGAGGAAAAAAAGAATGTCCACACCTTTGTTTCCGGGATTCTGTCCGAATCCGTGCCTGCTCTGATTATTCCCCTATTTGGTCTTACCCAAGACGACAGCTCTGAGAGCAGGGGAGCATCTTGGATTAGAAAGCAATGGATTTCTTACTTCTGCTACAAATTCCCCTAGTTGTAAGCCTTTCACCGTTCTAAATATTGCTTTATATGCAGTTCAGAGTTCTGGCACCATCCCCTGAGCCTGCTTGGTCCGGTATTCTGTGTTGTTGTGGATGGAGGTCCTCACTGCCCTTTTACCCGATCAGCCATTTTGGTTGTTTTCAAGTCTGTCATTTTTCATACTTTTATTTTTTATCTAACACTTCACATTTCATTCATCTTCCCATGTAACGTTTAAAAAGTTAGATTCTAGTCTTGGTTGTTTGCAATATAAGAGAAGAAGCAGGAGTTTACACAACTTTCATTATCTTTACTAACCAAGCATATATGAGTATCAGTTTTCATGTAGAGAGTTTTCAAAGCCCTTTCATATTCTGTTGAGTTTAAAATTGTAGACTGGCTTCCAATATTCATCATGTGCCATTATAAAATTTCTATCATAATGTTTTCTTTCTATTTTGAATACTGTTAAGTCTGTTTATATTTCTCTAACCTCTACATTTTCTCCAAGTCTGTCAGTCGCTTTTACGACGGGGAGAGTTGACATGTTTCCAGTGTAGTCATTTCTCTGGAGCGCAGCACAGCAGTCCCCTCTAGGTTAGGAGAGGCCAACAAGGAGTCAAAGCTCCCTTTCCACCTCAGGAGTCTCTTGTCAAGTAGATGTCACCTCACCCCACTAGGTGGTGTGACATCGCTCTTAAGACCTGGCTTTTGAGGGTGAGGTGGGAGATGATGGCTCTGAGACTCACTTTGTTTCCAGATGTATGTATTAAATGGTGCTTTTATTTTTATGTTCTTTGTGATGTGTTGAATGGTCTTTCTCCCCATTCCCTCCACTCCCAGGGAGAGTTGGATCAGGAGCGGTTGAACAGGCAGCAGGAACTCACGGCCTTATACCAGATGCAGCACCTCCAGTACCAGCAGTTCATAATACAGTGAGTGCAGCAGTGCTGGACTATGCAGCCCCCCCCCCC